CCTTGCAAACCTGAGCCATTGACGCCCGATGGCAGATACCCAAAAATGTCCCCACACTCCCGGTACAGTGTGCTCTCACCACAAACGGTGGGCTCTTGCCCTTCAAACCATATGGTGAGTGTTGAATGATTAACTGGCGGCTCCAATAAGAAATAGCTGATTTGGATGCCACCTGCCCTCTTCTGGGCCCTTCCCGCAGAACAAGGAACCCGATTTTGTGATTTGTGCCGTCATTCTCAAGAAGACTCTAATAGCCCGTACCACATCCAGGGCATGTATTGATCTCTCCCTCACCGATTAAGGTCTAGGAAAAAACGAAGGCAATACAAAGTCCTGATTCAAATGAAAACTAGAAACCACTTTTGTCAAAATAGACTGGTAATGCCGCAACACCACCTTCCTCCACAATCCTGATGCAAAACTGAAAAAGTCTCTCTACAAGAAAGAGCTGCACCTTGCAACACCCTCCTTGCAGAAGTGACTGCCACCAAAAACAGAACCTCCCGGGGCAACAGGACTAACGGAATTTCCCTAATAGGCTCAAATTGTGGCTTCTGTAATACTGCCGAGACCAAGTTCAAGTCACAAGGACACAGAGGGTGTCTGACAGGAGGAACTGTACGCAGCACTCCTTGCAAAAAAAGTATGAATCAAAGAGTGAGAAGCAACGGGTCTCTGGAAAAAAAAAACAACCATAGCTGAAACTTGGCTCTTAATAGTACCAACAACTAATTTTTTTTCTCCACTTCGGATTGGAGAAAAGATAAAATTCTACCAATTACATATTTTCTGGGATGCCACTTGCGGACCTCACAGCATGAAATATATCTTCAGGTCTGTAATAAATGTTCCTAGAAACCAGCTTCCTGGCATTCAACATCATGGGGATAACTGTGCCTGATACCCCTCTATCCTTCAAGATTTGGGACTCTATATTCATGCGTTCAAATTCAGCAACTGTAAAGCCGGGTGCAATATTGGCCCCTGTGACTACAGGTCTGGATGGCTTGGAAGAGACCATGGACTGTTCATTGCTAGATTCACTATGTCTGCATACCAGGCACTCCTGGGCCAGACAGGACCTACCAAAATCACCTGAATTAGTTTTTCTCTGATCTTGTGTAAGGGACGTGGCAGAAGCTGAATCAAGGGAAAAGCGTAGATTATGGAAAACTGGTCCCAAGACATTAACAGGGCATCCACTCATATCACGAGAGGGTCCCGCATTCTGGACACAAAGCTGCTCAACTTGCTGTTGAACCTGAAGGACAATAGATTTAAGTCTGAGTATCCCCAACGCCAACAGATTACCAAGAAAACCTTGGTATGCAAGGCCCATTCCCCATTGACTAACTGCTGGTGACTAAGATAATCTGCTTGCCAATTCTGTACTCCCGGAATGTGTACTCCTGATAGAATCAGAACATGTTCTTCTGCCCAAGACAGAATATGGTTTACCTCCTCTTAAGCCATCCGGCTCCTAGTGCCACCTTGGTGCTTTCTTTGTCTCACTGCTGTGGCATTGTCAGATAGAATCTTGACCAGAAAACCATGCAGCCTGGTCGGCAAAAACTTCAGTGCAACCTGTATTGCCTGAAGCTCTAGGATATTGATGGGAAGGATCTTTTCCTGCGGAGACCATGTCCCCTGGACTGTGGCCCCCTCCAAAGCAGCCCCCAACCAGAGAGACTGGTATCAGTGGTTACCAGTTTCCATACCACCGGTTAAAAAAATATTTCCCTTACTCCAAATTCTGAGCCTCCAACCACCAATTCAAGCCCTGCAGTACCCCGGGGGAGAGAGACAATTGGCAATATAGTGCTGGCATCTTCTTATTCCACAATGGACAGAATGTTCCTCTGCAGAAGTCTTTAGTGGAATTGCAAATAGGGAACTGGTTCGAATGATGAAACCATTTTTTGCAGTAACTTCATGCAGAGATGTATCGAAGAATACTTTCTGCTTCTTAAACTCCAAACTTGAAAGAAAGCATTGCCTTGAAAGAAAAAAAAAAAAAAAAAAAAAAACTCCAAACTTGATCTCTCAGGGCACAGCTCTTTCCCAGAGGCAGAAACACTTTCGCCTGAACTGTGTCTATGACTATCCCCAAATACTCCAGGCTTTGTACTGGCTCCAGGGCCGACTTCTCAAAGTTGAGCACACAGCCTAGGTGTTCCAGAGTATGTACTGCGAGAGCCACCTTGTTTCAAACTTGGAACAGATTGATCCCTGAGCAGTAAATTGCCCAGATAACCCAAGACCAGTACTCTGGGGAGTACTTAGTTCTGAGCAGCCCCAACACTGGAGCCAGAACCTTTAGAAACACTCAGGGGACCATGACCAGCCTGCAAGGTAGTGCCACAAACTGAAAATTATGAGTTTCTACTGCAAATTGCAGAAACTTTTGATGAGAGAAATATCGGCACATGCAGGTATATGTCGTTGATGTCTATGGATGCTAGAAGTTCTTATAAATCAGGCATTTACTGAGTGGATTGATTCCATCTGAAAAGAATGAACATTTAGTACTTGGTTCAGTCCCTTGGAATCTAGAATAGGTCTCATGTCCCCATACAGTTTTGGAACTGTGAACAGGTTTAAATAATACCCATGGAATCTTTCTTCTGCTGGAACTTCCATAAGCACTCCTTCAGAGTATCTGGAATAAAGACTATTTTCAGTGGATTTTACTTTAAAAACCCGGGGGGGATTGGGGACCTGAAAATTCCAGTTTGTACCCACTTGTGCCACTTGTCCTGAATCAGCTGCTTCCAGGTACCTGCAAATTCAAAAGTCCACCCCCCCCTGCCGAGTGGGGGCACCCATTCATAAGGAAGTGGATTTTGAGTCTGTTTTGGAGGACTTTTGCACCCAGGGCTTTCTCTGTCCCTGGGACTTACCTCTACAGGCAGAGCCTTGTATGTGGTGAAACAACTGGCAGATGAGGAAACAGTAACCGAAGTGCCCGACCCCTAAAAGCCGGGTGCTTGGATAGCCTCTTAAAAGGGTAGAAGTGAACTTTTTCCCCCTGAAATCCTATGGATATACTTGTCTAAATCTTCATAGAACAGTCGTTCATCATGAAAGGAAACAGCCCACCAATGCTGACCAACTCTTTAACTGGAAAATTCTGGAGGTCTTCTAATCAACTGTTTGACATGGTCTTTCAAACTCTGACAAATGCCAGATCGCAGCCACGGTTGGCTGTGTAGCAGACCCTGCCAGAGAAACAGAGGCTTTAAGGAGCGATTCTAGCTTCTTCTTTGCCGAATCTTTAAATACCTGAACATTTATCACAGTTAAGTTAAATACTTATTCAGGGAAGAAACAGCTGCATCAACTACCAGCATGCCCCATTTTTTAACAAATGTCTCCTCCATTGGGTACATGAGGGAAAACCTTTTAGTTGGGACAAAAACCCTGTCTGGGTGATTCCAGTCAGCATACATAAGTTGTTTCAGGACAGGGTGTACCGGAAAGTCCTGAGTACTCTGTGGCATTTTTAATAAGCCCAAAGAGGTGCAAGTGACCTCAGAGATTTCCCCTGGGGCGAGCCTAAAACCTGAACGGACCATATCAGAAATAACCTCTCTGATTGAGAAGAGACAGCCTGCTGCTCTTCAGGCTCTGACCCCTCAGACACAGAATCAACTGCCTGACCTTCCTCAAGTTCTTCAACCGTCTCTTTATCCTTGGGTTCAACCCACTCCTGTTCAAGAACCAGTGGACCAGGAGATAGAGATCTCTTCCGCTTCTTACCCCCTTGGGTCACAGAAGCAATGATTCCTGCGATCTTGTCTGCCAAGGCTGATGCAAGATAGTTCTTGGTTACGTACGCCAACGAGGATGCGCTACTAATAGCCATAATGCCTGACAAATGCAGCGGCTCAGGCTGACATGTTGCCCCTGGCCTTTCAGGAGAAGCCATCACAGTGGAATTCCAACTAGGCTCCTCAGGACCTGGTGGTGGCACACTTGGTGCCCCTTCCTGCTGCACCTCCCCCACTCCACCTCATGGAAAACATTACTCCTCAAGCGACCCAAGACCCGTGCAAGAAACAATCAGAGCACAGGATACAGCAATGCGAGTAGTGTAGCACTAATACACTCAATTCAGTCTGCCTGAACCGAAAGGCACTACAGAAGCAGTCCTCCAGCCCGACTGCCCGGCCCTCAGGGAAGTATTCACATGCCTTAGTATAGCCTGCTCTGTGTCCCAGTTGCCACACAGGAGCCCAGCAACAGCAGCCCCCCGTGTGTCCATGGAGCATCACATAGAAATAATATGGCTGACTTCCTCTTCCGACTGCTACTGTGTGCGTGTACTCTGCGGTCCTGCGGACGGGTACATGGACAGAGAAAAGGAGCTGGCTGAGCGCTCCCCCAAGTGGCCAATTAACAATAACAAGAGGAATAATAATATTTTTTTTAAATGTTACCTTTAGTATAACTGTAAACTTCAGATATTGAGGTACAGCTACCTTTCCTTGCAAGAAGAGCAGAGAACTGCACAGTAGTGACGTTTCCAAATCTGTTAGATCTCACACTGAAGATGTACAGCTTACTCTAACACGAACACCCCAGAATAGACTGTATATAAGAGACCAATTCTGTGAAAGTTGCTGCTATGTTAAATTCATGAATTTACACATCACACTGGGAAATCATGTTTGAGGTTGGACAGCTGACACATGGTGTCAGACTTCAGGTGATTGCTGAAATATATTTATATGGATTAACAACATACAGTATTTTTTTTAAATGTTTTTTTTTTTTTTTTTTTTAAATATTACCATGGTTTATTATCAACATTTATTAATAACAAACATTTTATTGACTGATCTAAAATGGGAACTTGTCTCTGAATGGTGAGGTGCATTGCCAATACTAACAAAGAACTGCAGTCTGTACTTATACAGCTGTAAATCAGGGTTTGTACTGTAATCTGAAATGCAATCATGTGGTTTGCCACCAATTAGAGATGGGGAAAATGGGCTTACCTCTGACTCTGAACTATCCAACTCAGCCAGGGTTGGAGCTTTTAGAAGCCTCTTCCGTTGAACAGTCAATTGTGTGGAGCGTCCATTTACTCTGGAAGACTCGGTCACACCACCATTTAACACTGTGCTCTCTGGCTGCTTTCTTGTGACTTCAGGAGTACAAACATCTGATGCATGAAAGAAGAAACGTTTTACATTTACATTATGGAACGGAAACATAATATGAAACACACAAGATGGGAATGGCTTTTGTATTGTGGTTACATAAGAAATGTTAAATTATACTGTCACTGGGAAATGGTCTTGACTTGTCTTGTTTAGTGTACAATTACAAGTTACAAAATGAGTCATGTTCCTACCTCCAAAAGAACCAGAATGTAAATGAAATCACATAATATGGGCAAATAAAGCAGATTCAATTCTAAATCTGTATAGTCTGCTTCAAATACAAGCCATTTTAGCTTAACTACCAGCATCATAAAAAATTACTAGAATGGCCTGCAAATTGTTCTGTGGCCAGGACCATCTTACGGATCTAGGCATAGAATTTGACAAGATGAGTGTTTTTCAAAATGTGGGACCAGCACCTTTGATAATACAAACTATTAGACAAGGTTTTCAAAGTTTTTCTAACCCACTCAATTCATTATCTTTCCAAAGGTGTGTCAAGCTTGGTATGTTTATTGCTGTCCACAAACAAAATCATTGCTCAATCGGGAAATAATTGAGCGGGAAGGAAAGAACGCTTAGTTTTGACTATGGCAGATCAACAATTTTATGTTGGTGGTACAAATGATTTTTTTTTATGTAACAGTACAGTGGATAGTCAGGAAGTACAAACTGTACGGTGACCTTGCAGCACCTCATATGCACACAAATGCATATAGAAAGATCTATAATCTGTAAATCATAGGACCTATATTTTACAAAGCATGTCCTACAAGTATCACTACATCATCTGATCCATATCCCAATGTTTTGAAACACAAAATCTCTAAAAACATAAAAAAAAAATACAGGCAGCATACACAGGTGACTTAACAACAAAACCAAAACAGAAACAAATGCATGCTTGCATACAATTACTTTGAAATATTCTTATGTAATACACTATTTACTTGGATAAAACAGTGGAAAAATACCAAAAATTTAAAGTTAATTCAAGAAGTATCCCTACTTTTCCCAGAAAGTCTGCAAGGCCTTTGGACACGAAAAGGATTGCATAAAATGCTAAACTATACTACTTGCATCAAAGATATAAAGATGATTTAGTAGAGAAATAAAAAAAAACTACCCTAAATGTGAGTAAAATATGAAAATCTATACAACACAGTAGCAATTCAGATCAAGCAACAAAAAATAGCTTTCAGTAATATTTGTGAGAGACTGCTAAAATCGGATGCCTGAAATTGCACAATGCCACACTGCTGTGCAATTATATGTTTACCTTCTAGTGAACATTGGTATCAGGTGTTTTAAAATGGCACCAAAAGTGCTCCTCAGAGGAGTTTTCCATTGATTTGAATGTGAAGAGGCATTTTTTACATGCCCCAAAAGATGCTGCAAGTAGGATTTTTTATACCGCACCGGAAGCGCAATGCCTCAGTGTGAAAACATACATAGATATACATTCACATACATAGGGAAACATTTTTATTGAGCTTTTCAGACACTTTTTTTTTTTTTACACAAAAACGCTTGAAAAACTCCGCAGTGTGAAAGTAGCCTAAAAGGCTGTAGTTTTCCACCCTGCTCATCAGGGTCAGCTGTATCAGTCTTAATTGTTGCAGCCTATGCACATCCTGATAAGTTTTGCAGGTGGCATAAAAAGACTACCCACTTGCAACCTAGTTATGATTCTCTCAGCAAAGAGGTTTATTTACGGTTCATATCAGTATAGTTGAAATTCTCTCTGCTAATCAATTTCAGGTTGAGTGAACTTGGTTCTGATCCCTTCTAGGTGAATAGTCTGGGTCTATCACTATAGTACTTTCAGCACGAGTCTGAATAATAACCTATTGATTTGGTGTCGATTTTACCTCTGTATACAGTGTGTATGATGTTAACGTGATACCAACGTTTATCAAACATAAGATAGTGGTCATAAGACTGAACCACAGTATACAATCGTTCTGCAAAGTGACTTTCACATAAACATGCATAATCATTTTAGCTGAGAATATATGTAGCTGAACTTAAAAAAAAGAAAAAGAAAAAAAGGTTGGAGTACATATAACAGATGTGGAACTGGCATACCTGGTCTAGGGGTCAGATGTTGTGCTTTGATTAGTATACAAGTACATGAAAGCAATTACTGTACAATATAGAAAGCATGTCAAGTGACATGTCTTGACAGACACTTTAAGCTATTACATAAAAAATCTTGTAAAGGTCTGGCAAAAGACAGTCCAACCTAACCACCAACAGCAAATTTATGGAGCCCAGAAACATGTATGTTTATTAGTGACAAATGAAAAGGTAAAAAAAAAAAAAATGGAGCCAGTCGTACATTTTTTTTTTATTTTTCTATAGGTGCTTTGGCTACCTGGCTCCTGAGATTTGTCCAACCCTGTCATTTTCGCTTTGAAAGAAAACAATTGTCTAAAATTATATTTATTAGCAGCTATATTTTTTCTCCCCAGACACCACATCAAGGACAGATTTTTGCACAAGACTGAAGTGAAATTAAAACAACATGGATGATTAACGGTAAAAAAAATAAATATTTCTCTCATGGTCAGGAATGATTAGAGATCCAAGTTAAAATTCACTAATAAAGTAGATGTACTATAATTCAAAATGGAAATACTATATGAAGACATGACTAGAGCAATTATGTCAAACCTTTACCATGTCACCCAACCAATAGTACGGAAGCCATATGTCACTCTCAGTTCCCTTTGATGTTATTAAAAGCACCCTCCTAGCAGATGCTCAGTATCATTCAGTGGGAACACCACCAGTATTATACATTTATAAGCAAACAGCGCCCACACATCAATGATATCACTTCTTTTTACTAAATTTTATTTAGCCAGAGATGCATGTCTCAAGTCTCTGTACAGATTCTCTACGACTAAGCTTGTAAAGGTGAAACACATCAAAGAGGGGAGGTTCCCAGGTGGGCACCATGCATGCTTGGCGAAAAGAAGTGATGTCATCAGTGTGAGGCCGCCCAGTCCTTGTACGGAGTTAACATGAAATGAAGACCGACTCCCAGGGTCAGAACCAAGCACACCCAGATTGGACATGGATGACTGGAAACTGAAGTGGGGGATTATACATTTATAGTTCAAATGAAGGAAATCAGGAAATACCTAAATTTCATAGATATTCAATAATGTTTAACCATATCAAGCTCCGGGGTTAATATAAACCATTTCCCTTATTTAGTGATTTGATTACTATACAGAAATTGTATACTACTCTTCAGAGTAGCTATAAAGCCACAGGCCTCCCATTAAGCATTTTCTCTTTTTTACTCATAGTAGTAGTCTAAAATACGAAATGACTACATCACTATTTGTGTTCAATCCTCAGGTGTGATTGACAAATTAAATTTGGATATGGGCTTCATGTGTAATTCAAGCATATCTGGCCACGTAATACATCTCAATTATTCCTATAAAGATAAGGATGGGTTAAAGGCTGATGACAGATGGACTGAATTGCTAATTATTTCAGCACCCATTACTTGAGTCTTATAGAAATCATTCCAATGGGGATGGATTTAAGTCCATGACCGTATCATACAGTCCATCTTTGCTTTACATGGAGGACATAAGATAAAGATACTTTGGGGAAGAGTACAGCTGGAGCATTGGGCTTGTTGGTCATATTGTCATATGGTTATCCATCCAACAGATGTCTCCTGCTGGCTGGGTCTGGGTTTGGTGCACCACATTGATTCTGGCAGTAAAACAGGGAGCTGAAAGTTGGATCAAAGGGAGCTGATAATTATGTCATCATTTTTAAAATATTTTCACATCGGAAACTCTGAACACTGTGCATTTTTATTTGCCATCAATTCTGCATTAGGCTAGGTTCACACTTCTGCCTCAAAGTGAGTCGCTCTTTAGCAGGAATGAATTTTTAATGGCATCTCCTCCCATCTGCCAATGAACTGCATTTACAAGTGCAAGAAAGCAAATGGTGCAAAAGCACAGTGAAGTTTCAGTGCAACTGCAGTATTGAAAAGGTGCAGGGGACCTTTTTCCTGCAGGTACAGCAGCTCATTCAAATGAATAGGCTGCTGTGGCCACGCAAACACAGCATGCAGGAAACTGCTAGACATGAAACTAGCTTTAGGTTAATGTCAGATGGGCATTTTCAACATTGTGTCTGACAAACATAATGTAACAATTTACATTTGTGATTTTAAAAAGAATCCCAAGCTGTTATACGTTTGGAATCTCTGGTGTAGAGATAGTCACTCTATAGGCAGGCATTAATTAATAATGAGGCCTGTTCATTTTCTAAGAACAAACGCATCATATAACCACTCTAAAATGTTTGCTGACAGCATTGGTTAACTTCTGTCCTGCAATAGTTGCATTACACTGGGGGGAAGCATAGGACATTTGTTTACAGTATATTTCCAGCAATCCAGTAGCACCATTTCCAATTGCTAAAACAAACTGCTGGGTTATATTGGTACGTTTCTAATAACAGCTTTCTCATTAAAAATGCATATTTTATTTCATACATCAAATAAATCATGCAGATTTAAAAAGAAAGTTCAAAGAGGACAAGGGAAGTTCTACATAAGAGATGGAGACAAAGAAACCCTCACATTCTTGTAAGTTTGCAGGGTACAAAATGAAATATAGAGATTTGGTGTTCCAACATATGTCGACCCTCCCTGTTCCAAAAAAAATGCTAACCATCTGGAAGTATCCAACAAAGGAACAGTGGTGCTTTTGTTAAACTAAAGTTGAAGATATGACCATACAACACTTATGTATCACATGTTCTTTACTGTAAACCTGGGCCGCACAGACATTTATTGATCCATCTCTCAATTTTCTAAGATTTTCAGTTGGGCTGCATGCAGAAAAAAAACTATGCTAGATATGAGGGGTGAGCACTGAAAAAAGTATAAATATGTAATATATGCCTGTGCATGCTTGTTGAATAAAAACAAGATTATTATATTTTTTGTCCTATA